GTGTGTGTCAGTAAGCTTGTCTGTAGTGAATCTGTGTGTTAGTGAGCTCTTCTGTAGGGAGCATGTGTGTGTCAATGGGCTTGTCTGTAAGGAGAGTGTGTGCGCATCAGTGAGCTTGTCTGTAGTGAGCGTGTGTGTGTGACAGTGAGCTTGTCTGTAGTAAGCTTGTGTGTGTATCAGAGTTTGTCTGTACTAAATTTGTGTGTACCAGTAACCTTGTCTGTGTGTGTCATTGAGATTGTCTGTCAATGAGCCTATTTGTGTGCATCAGTAAGATTGTCTGTGTCTGTGTGTGAGTATGCTTTACTGTATAATTTAATTACCCTAAAATAACTAATATTTTGAATTAGAAGAAGAAATGTATCAATAATATATATATTATGTATATATATATATATATATACAATTGCATCACCAGGGCTCCAGTATCCAGGCAATTGAAATAGTTGGCTGCACTCTCAGATTTCCTTAAAACTTAACTTTTATTGAAATATTTAAGAGATCAATGTTTCAGTCCCTCTTGTGGACTTTCGTCATGATCCTGATGCAAGTCCACAAGAGGGACTGAAACGTTGATCTTCTCTTAAATATTTCAATAAAAGTTACATTTAAAGGAAATCCGAGAGTGCAGCCAACTATTTCAATTGCCTCTATATATTTATAACACCCTACATAGCACAATGACTTATGGGGCTGGCATAGATTTTTTTCCAGGGCTGCTTCGTATCCCCAGTCCGGCCCTGGTTCCTCCTAATGCAAGACAATGCTAGACCTCATGTAGTTGGAGTGTGTCAGCAGTTCCTGCAAGACGAAGGCATTGATGCTATGGACTGGCCCGCCCATTCCCCAGACCTGAATCCAATTGAGCACATCTGGGACATCATGTCTCGTCCATCCACCAACGTCACGTTGCACCACAGACTGTCCAGGAGTTGGCAGATGCCTTAGTCCAGGTCTGGGAGGAGATCCCTCAGGATACCATCCGCCACCTCATCAGGAGCATGCACAGGCATTGTAGGGAGGTCATACAGATACATGGAGGCCACACACACTACTGAACCTCATTTTGACTTGTTTTAAGGACATTACATCAAAGTTGGATCAGCCTGTAGTGTGTTTATCTACTTTAATTTTGAGTGTGACTCGAAATCCAGACCTCCATGGGTTGAAAATTTTGATTTCCATTTTTTTTATTTTTGTGTGATTTTGTTGTCAGCACATTCAACTATGTAAAGAACAAAGTATTTCAGAAGAATATTTAATTCATTCAGATCTAGGATGTGTTATTTTTGTGTTCCTTTTATTTTTTTGAGTATTGTATATAGTCCTCCAGGTCTCGCCTGATATACAGGCTTTTCAATTAGTGTATTTCTTCCATCCATATCTCCTGTTACAAGGGGGTGTTCGGTGGTTCTTTCGTCCAATGAAATGATAGTTCGGTCGGGGGCTTGATATGAACCAGGTGCTGTAAATGATCATTCGTACGTCCATCAGTACGAATGGCGGAAGTGACGTATTGGGCTATTTCCGCATGTCACTCCTATTTTCCATTCGTATAGACGAAAAGACTACATAGTCCATAAGTCCTTGCGCTCAATATTGCCGTTTTTAAAGTCCCAAACATGGAAAGAAAAAAAGGGGTAGAACGGAAACAGGGGGGAATGAATATTAAAACCAGAATGTTAAAAACAAATTTTGTAAATGTACTATAAAAAAAAAATATACATTTAAAAAAAGACCACAACAAGATGGTATTATTTGGGCAATATTACTTAACTAAATTGAAAGCATATTTTGGCTATATATTGCATACCAATCTGCTTATGTGCTGTCACCACTATAATAAAAGATTTTTGGCTTCAAACAAAGAGGTCTCAAAAATGGAAAATTGATCAAAGTGGAGATAATTTATTTCAAAATTAATTTATATAATAAAGATAATTACAAATATGAGGAATGGGGGGGCAGAGTCTGACCTCCGAGCTAGCCAGAAGGGGTATGCCAGAGCTCCCGACTATTTGGCTGAAATCAACGCTTTAACCTGTCGAAAAAGGCTGCCACATACGCCTAAAAGTGCCATCAGGTCAGGGGAACCCAGGTAAGCTGACTGATACCTTACCCGTGTGTTTCTCTTATCGAGATCCTGGGAACCTTGCTGCAGCCTACCCGGAGCGAAGCTGAGTGGAAGCAGCCGATCTTCTTGTGCTCCAGGCGGGGACTGAGCTTGTGGCACTCCTATGCCCCCCCCTATGGACCAGTGGGGGTCATCCCGGTCCCTCTCAAGCGACTTAGAGACTTTGCTCAAACCTACTATAATATCCAGGCCACACTGCCTCACTTGGCGCTCCAAAATGGTGAAGATCTGTCCTTTGAGGACCTCAAGCGAAGGGGCACCACATGACTCCACAGCAGACTCCCTGAGGAGACTCAACTAAATCTTTAAGCGCTTCTGGCTGAACCTGCAGCGCAGACTCTCAACCACCAAAGTTAACAACAGGTAGGGGGAAGGGCAAGCCTGGCAGCAGCAGGTGAAGGAGCCTTTTGCAAGAGCCACACAGAGTGGGAAGCCCGCTCGTCCCCCCGGCATGCACAGCAGTGAGGCCCTTGCAGGCTTCAGACCACAGTGCACGCCGCCTGCCTAAGCCAGGAGCTTCAAAGGCTGCACACCGATGGCTCCAAGCAAGCAAACGCCGGGATGCAAGGCAATGCATGAGACATACACGACTGACCCATAGAGCCCATCATCTTACCCCACTGGAGATGAGCCTGAACCCTACCAGACCTCAAACCTCTGCAAAGTCGGTGCCTGCTAGCCGGCAAATCTGGAGCTGGGACAGCTCCTTATCTGGGCTTTGCTCTACTGCTCTGTACACCAGCTTGGGACTTCAGGGTATGGGATGACTGCGCTGTTCTGTGACCCTGGAGGGCCTGCTCCATGATCCACAGACTGTGAACTATTTGGGGACTACGGGACTCACCTCTTACACAAGGCAACTCATGGTACCAGATTGGGCGGTATACCCGCAATACGCAAGGATCAATTAATAGCTTATTATCCCTTACCCACTTTCTCTCTGTAATTGATGCCAATGTTAGTTTCTTCTCAGTATCCCCAAGATATTAGTCCCCAGTGGTCACACATCTTGTTGGACATTTAAATTGCTATTTGTTTGTCTACTTATTCTTAATTAAATGCCAGCATAGTTTAGCATGGATTCTACCCTAAGCATTTATTTACCAACTACCTACATGTCTAGTTTGTTCAGCATGTTTGCATAAACGTTCTAAATCGAACTACCACCTAGCTTGTTTACGATCAGCTTACACCTTACTTTATAGTTAGACATGTTATAATTATCTAATACTCATATGTGTTATACTACTACTTTAAAAAAATGTGCAACTGTTCCCTATGCCTTGACATTGTACACTTTTGAAATACTTCTTAATGCTATTGTGGCATTGCAAGTATGATTGTTATCCAGTGCACAACCAAAATAAAGAATAATAAAAAAAAAAAAATATGAGGAATGGGGGGGCAGAGCCAGCTGCCATACTGTATGGACGCATAACGAGAGAGATCCATGCCGTTCTTCAAATAAAGCCCTAATACTTGCCTTTCCAACAAGGCACCTGACCGCCAAGAGAGAGGAATCGTTCCCACTAACAATGGGGCAGAAAACAAAGAAATATAAAGCGGATAGAATAACGACAACTGCCGACATCGGAAACCTCCTGAGAAGGCTGCAAGGAGCAGTGAAACCTGTCATGGCGCCTCTCTCTGATGGGCTCTCTTACTCATCCAGCGAAACATCCCATCAACATGGAGGAGCTTGCCACCATTACTAGAAGACCAAGAGCTGTTTTACCTGCAAAGCGCTCAGAGGGCTCACCGGTGACGGAGGGAACCTTGAAGGCCCTGCTGGACGACCTGCGCCATAATCTAGCTGCTGATATTAACTACTTCAAGGAGCAGAGTGTCGAGGCACCTCCACGCTGCAGAGATAACCACGGCCACTCATGAAGCCCGCCTAAATAACATGGAACAAGAACTACTTGAACAGGCACAGACTCAGAGCAGCATGGCGGTGATGGAAGACCGCAGGACGTGGAAAAACGTTATGATAAGGGGCATACCAGAGCAGATCGGCACAGCCGAAATCCCTCACCTAGTCAGGAGATTACTTACACACCTCTTCTCAGCCAAGCAGGCCAAAATGATGGCCCTGGATGGATGCTTCAGACTCCCAGTGCCTACATCATGCTCCACCGAGGGGAACAGGGATGTCATCGCCCGATTTCAAAATGGGCCAGATAGGCAAGCGTTCCTAACAGCGTTGCAGAATAAATCACCATATGACTTTAAAGGACACACGCTAATGTTTTATACAGGCCTATCCAGAGCAATACTGGAGTGACGCAGGTCCTTAAAACCACTGACAATGGAATTGATATGACACAACATACCTTACAAATGGGGTACCCCAAAATGTTTGCTGATACCTCGGGACTCAGGGAATCTAAAAGTCCAAGAGGCCTTGGAAATTAAAAGCACCCTAAAGCAACTGGGACTGACCACGACACCAGAGGGTGCATTACCAACAACCCAAGCGCCGCAATCGCACACATGGGACCCAGCTAAGGTTTGCTCATTTGTGCCAGCTGCCAAACGGGGCAACTGTGCTACGGCAGCTATCTCCTGAAACACTCATTAGTTCTCAGTAACTCTTTAACTCATAACAGTTTTAGCTCCGTTTTGCTTATAATTGTTTGTTTCACAGTTTAAATTATGTTTTACATTAATCTTGTATGAACCCTAACATTAAGTACGATATCCGCTGATACATAATTTCCTCCATCTGCTGGTTTGAGGGTTACACCTCTTAACACAACCCCTCCTCCCTCTAAACCTACATTAGTGTCATTGTGTCACCACGTGGGTGCTAACCTCTTGTACATGTAGACCCACATTGACCTCCTCCCTACTAAGCCAAGAGGCATAAGGCCTATACCGCCTCAAAACGTCACTAACTACACCTACCTACTCTTTCATAGGAGGCGATAGGCCAAGCAGGTAACATAACAGGCTATGCAACACCCCTTCCCTATCTCCTGCACTTAAGCGACACACTAGCCTGCATTTCTCCATTTTCCACTATAAAATAATGTGCTGTTTTTTAATGACATGCCTTTGTTTTTGCTATGTTGAACTCATTGTGCTTGCACCTGCTGATGTGGCAGCACAAGTGTTGTTGTTATACCTCGCACAACAAAAATAAAGAATAAAATAAAAAAAATATGAGGAATTATAGAAAATGACATGGTTCGAAATCCACGCTGGGACCACGACGGGTCAAAGTGTCCAAATTAAAAATCCAGCTCATCTCTGTTTGGCCTAAATCTTTAATTATGTCACCACCTCTCCAGCTAGTACACACCTTTTGAATCCCCCAAAATTCTAACAAACGTGGGTTGTTGTTAAGGCCCTGGGGAGATAGCGCAGCTAAGCAGACAAGGGCACATATATGAGTGTGGGGATAGATGCGTTGGAGTTGTTTGGAAGCATGTGTGGGTGGATTATGTTCTGTGTGAGTTAGTGGGGGGTGGTCTTACCTCAGTGCCACTTGGGATTCGGGCCAGCAAACAGCTTCGATCCCTCCCACCCGCCCCATTAGTATAGTTAGTCGCAGCTAGCCGGGGCTATGTCCTTGCCAATTAAGTTTGAGGGGTTACGTTTAAGGATATGGAATGAGATGAAAAAGTTTTCAGGTCTCACCCTGATCTAAAGGGTTACATAGAAACATAGAAACATAGAATGTGACGGCAGATAAGAACCATTCGGCCCATCTAGTCTGCCCAATTTTCTAAATACTTTCATTAGTCCCTAGTCTTATCTTATAGTTAGGATAGCCTTATGCCTATCCCACGCATGCTTAAACTCCTTTACTGTGTTAACCTCTACCACTTCAGCTGGAAGGCTATTCCATGCATCCACTACCCTCTCAGTAAAGTAATACTTCCTGATATTATTTTTAAACCTTTGTCCCTCTAATTTAAGACTATGTCCTCTTGTTGTGGTAGTTTTTCTTCTTTTAAATATAGTCTCCTCCTTTACTGTGTTGATTCCCTTTATATATTTAAATGTTTCTATCATATCCCCCCTGTCTCGTCTTTCCTCCAAGCTATACATGTTAAGATCCTTTAACCTTTCCTGGTAAGTTTTATCCCGCAATCCATGAACCAGTTTAGTAGCCCTTCTCTGAACCCTCTAAGGTATCAATATCCTTCTGAAGATACGGTCTCCAGTACTGTGTACAATACTCCAAGTGAGGTCTCACCAGTGTTCTGTACAATGGCATGAGCACTTCCCTCTTTCTACTGCTAATACCTCTCCCTATACAACCAAGCATTCTGCTAGCATTTCCTGCTGCTCTATTACATTGTCTGCCTACCTTTAAGTCATCAGAAATAATCACCCCTAAATCCCTTTCCTCATATGTTGAGGTTAGGACTCTATCAAATATTCTGTACTCTGCCCTTGGGTTTTTACGTCCAAGATGCATTATCTTGCACTTATCCACATTAAATGTCAGTTGCCACAATTCTGACCATTTTTCTAGTTTACCTAAATCATTTGCCATTTGGCTTATCCCTCCTGGAACATCAACCCTGTTACATATCTTAGTATCATCAGCAAAAAGACATACCTTACCATCAAGACCTTCTGCAATATCACTAATAAAAATATTAAAGAGAATGGGTCCAAGTACAGATCCCTGAGGTACCCCACTGGTGACAAGTCCAAGCTTCGAATATATTCCATTAACTACAACCCTCTGTTGCCTGTTACTCAGCTACTGCCTTACCCATTCAACAATATTGGAATCCAAACTTAAAGATTGCAGTTTATTGATAAGCCTTCTATGTGCAACAGTGTCAAAAGCCTTACTGAAATCTAGGTAAGCAATGTCTACTGCACCACCCTGATCTATAATTTTAGTTACCCAATCAAAAAAATCAATAAGATTTGTTTGGCATGATCTCCCTGAAGTAAACCCATGCTGTCTCTGATCTTGAAATCCATGTGTTTTTAGATGTTCATCAATCCTATCCTTTAACATGGTTTCCATCACTTTCCCCACTACTGAAGTAAGGCTTACTGGCCTATAGTTGCCCGACTCCTCCCTATTACCTTTCTTGTAAATGGGCACAACATTCGCTAACTTCCAATCTTCTGGGACTACTCCTGTTAACAATGATTGGTTAAATAAATCTGTTAATGGTTTTGCTAGTACACCACTAAGCTCTTTTAATAGCTTTGGGTGTATTCCATCAGGTCCCATTGACTTATTTGTCTTTACTTTTGACAGCTGAAATAGAACCTCTTCCTCTGTAAACTCACGTGTAATAAATGACTAATTTATCCTTTTTCTCAACTGAGGTCCCTTTCCTTCATTTTCTACTGTAAATACAGAACAAAAATATTCATTGAGGCAGTCAGCCTGACCTTTATCCTCTTCTACATACCTTCCTTCTTTTGTTTTTAATCTAACTAATCCTTGTTTTACTTTTCTTTTCTCATTTATGTATCTAAAAAATGTTTTATCCTCCTTTTTTACTGACTGTGCTATTTTCTCTTCTGTGTGTGATTTGGAAGCTCTTATAACTTGCTTAGCCTCTTTCTGCCTAAACTTATAGATCATTTTGTCTCCCTCACTCTGGTTTTTTTTATAATTCCTAAATGCTAACTTTTTGTTTTTAACTATTTTGGCCACATCTGCGGAGTACCACAGTGGTTTCTTGAATTTTTGCTTTTACTGACAAGCCTAATGCAATTTTCTGTTGCCTTCAATAGTGCAACTTTTAAATAATCCCATTTCTCTTGGACTC